TACTACTACTCCTGCTGCTGCTACTACTACTACTACTACTACTACTAGCAGCAGTAGTCGTAGTGGTATTGGTATTGGTATTGGTAGTGGTAGTGGTAGTGGTAGTGGTAGTGGTAGTGGTAGTGGTTGTTGTTGTTGCTGCTGAGTGTTGTTGAAACTAGATGCAGGAACAATGGTAGGAGCACAAGAAGAAAGAATGGGAGTGAGCAGACATAGGAGGAGCAAGAGCATTCACATCCAATCGCCCTACAGCGACAGATGAATCAGTGCCGAGGTGCTGTCATCGTGGCACGAGATGCATTGGCCCCAAGTCCCATCCGTCTGAAGAGCACACCGGGCTCCCCTCACACACCAATCCTGAGAGTAGCACCGGGAGTTGGGGCAGTTGAAGCCGGTGGCTCCGATCGCTGCCAGCCTGAAGTCGTCCTCCCATTTCCTAGTTCATGGTTGGGGTAGTATTAAAAATCTAAATTTATAATCCTTATTGGGTTTAAGTACCCATAAAAATGTAAAATGTTACCCAACTGTGACAAAGTTTCACGCAAGTCTCTTGGAATTCCTTCTTCGTCAGGGGGACACATTGTGCCCAACTGTCGTCTGGCTTCGATACACAGACGGTGGACATCGGACAATCCTGATCATACTCGCATTGGACCGTTGAGCAATTCATGCCAATCTCCTTGATGGCAGCATCACGTAGCCTTCTGTCCCAGTACTTGCACTCCTTCTGAAAGGTGTCGTAGTCCAAGGGAACGCACTGACTCCAACTTCGATCCGCTTTGAATACGCAGGTGCGATTGTCCACACAGGAGCTGCTGTTCTCGCACCGTTCTGGCTCTTCAAAGCTGTCTGTTCTTTTGGTCTGGACTTGTAATGCACTTAGCGAACAGGAGGATTCATCCGAGCACTCATCATCTGCAGCCAAGGCTGCAGCATCCTGATCAGCTGCTGCCACACTTGAAACACTGAGGAGGCTCACGAGGAGAAGTGGACGCCACAGTGCCATGTGCTTCAACCGAGGTATGTACAAACCACTTTTTTCAGGGAAGTGTGCCTGGAATCAGGCCAGAAAGAGTACCTTGATCCAAAGAGGTGCAAATGATGTGGGCAGCGATACATCTGAGATCGAGCCGTGTCATGTTGGAGGACAGGCCGTACTCATAAGCTAAGTTACCACAAGGTCGTGAACATGTTCTATGATGCTCGCATATGCAGCCTCGGGCAAATCCCGTGTCCATAATCGGAATCTGCAGCCGGTCCAACCCTAAGCCCTTCTATCTTGTATATATATATATATGTATGTACGGTGTGTACATATATATATATACATAAAACTATTTATATAGATGTATGTATATGCACATATATATATATATATATGTATGGATTCATGGCTTGCGCGGCCTCTGAGCGTGACTCCTCGCCCAAACCGAAGAGGCAGCCCAGCGTAGCAACCTGCCGGCCCGAGGTCAAGAAGCTTTTTGGGTGATGACTTGGGAGTTTCCGAAAATAGGAGACCCTAATATAGTACCCTAAATAGTAGGACCCGTATTATAAGGACCCCAAAATAAGGTACCCTGATTTTGGGAAACTTCCACTTAGGCTTTAGGAACTTTGGCGCTTAGATGGGCTTGGGGTTTGGTTTTTAGGGTTTGTGTTTTTGGGGTTTAGGTTTTTGTTTGAAGGCTCCTTCCCCGTCCCACGACATCACGGCAACGACCACATGAGTGAAATGTCTAAAGCAACGCATGCGAGCCATCGTGACATCATAACATGAAAGACACCGCCACAGCACGGATGCACTAAGCGTTCTCAACTGCAAGGGTCTAGCTTGTCTCCGAGACGAGCCTTCGAGCCCACAGCAGGAGTGGTAGCAGTAGTGGTAGTAGAAATAGAGGTGGTGGTGGTGGTGGTAGTAGTAGTAGTAGTAGTAGTAGCAATTAGTAATAGTGGTGTGCTACTACTACTACTACTACTACTACTACTACTACTACTTGCTGCTGCTGCTACTACCACTGCTACTACTACCACTACTACTACTACTACTACTACTACTACTACTACTTCTCCCAACCTTGGGCAGGGAGGATGCTGTCGTGACCTGTCAGGTTCAGAAAGTTCCAGTCATCTCTGAGATGCAAACCCGCATGCGCCGGTGTAGATGGGGACAAACCTAGACCTGAACCTACCTATCCCTGCCCACGGACACAGACATGCGGAAGCTGTACTGCATCACCGGCATGCTACAGCAGCCTGCACCGCGTTCGACCCGGTCGGGACTCCGAAGGCAGGGCGCAATGTGACCTCGGCACTCCGATTTCCAAGAGGTTCAATCTCAAGGATACCATCCGAGTGCACTTGCGCTCTGTAAGTGGCAGTGGCTCTGGCTTTACAACGTAAACCCTAAGCCCTACCAAATGCTGAACTTGCCTGCTACTGTTGCATCGGACAGGGCTAGAACGATTGTGCACTGAAGATGCGATAGATGTCTCACTGTGTGGTACTGCTGAGTAGCATGAGCACTACTACGAATTCTAGTGTTACCACTGGCTAGGTGTGCTAGCATGTTTAGTCTTGCAGTTCATATAGTCCTCGTGCCACGATGAACTGATTACGAATCACTCATGCCATTTGCCCTTCCATTCATGGTCTGAAGGTCGGACATTGCACAGAATTGGAAACTTCAGGCGGCATGAATATGACCCCGAACGGTCTCCTGGGTGCCCATCACGCTTGAAGGTTCATGTGCACTTGGACGGACTAGGCGTGAAATCAACTGATGTAATTATGACCGTGGTTGCAATTATGCATGAATCTTCAAGCAGGTGTGAACCATAGGCGTATAACAAAGTGTCGAGGAAAAGCTAGTCCTTGCTAGCTGCGGATATGGTTGGGCTGTTCTAAGTTTTGAGCACTACCCAGAAGAAACAGGCTAAAGTATGGAAACATATTCAGATCATAGTTTAGAGCAGCCCCCACACACACAAACAATATCACGTCGAAACGCTAATGGCTGGGTCAGAGGAGCATTTGTCTCTTTACATTGTGCCATTTCTCGGCAAAGTTCGAAACTCCGGATTGCCGCAACGGCCGCAACTGAGCAGAGGTCCGGAGCTTTACGCTCCGGCTTCTGCTAGCCGTCGGCATCTACATTGAATTACAGGCTCATCTGGACCTGTAGAGTGATCCACACTTCTATCAAACTTGACAGTGGTAGAAATAAGTAGGCCGTATAGCGACTCATTAAAGACATGTTTCCATACAGCTTCGCACTAGGTACAGTACTCGTGATTTATCATCTCAGCAAATCACTTGGGAAGGTGCAGAATCTTGGATGCAAATTCGCTTCTCTTTGGCATCCAGAAACACCAGCTCTGTCTGCCACCCTTCGGCCAGCAGTGCTGCATGCACCAATGGCCACCACAGCTCGGAGAGGTCGGCAGCAAGAAGGCTAAGCTTGGCAAGATCGCCATCGATGCCAGCATCCTTGTCTGCCAACTTGCGCAGCAGCTGAGACTGGAGGAAGCCCTTTAGGACGTCTGGAGCTGTCGCCTCCATGTGGTACCATAGCGCCAGTCGCCTTCTGGAGTAGCCCAAGACATGTCTCGCTGCTGAGTCGAGGGGCGTGAGGAGCTGGCACGAGGCTTCAAGCATGGGGTTCACATCCAAGTGCGTACAACCTGCTGACCTGTATGGACGAACAAACGCCTCGCGGTCTCTGATCTCCTCTACAGAGGGAACGAGCACAGCCTTTGCAGCTGGGCTCTTGTTTGGACTCTGTGGATCCATCCCATCGCTTCCTAAAGCCCCCTTCCAATTCGGTATGCTCAAGCTGGCGCAGATGTGGTGCACTGCTGGCTCCAGCACCAACTCGGCCCGCTGCCGATTCAACGACTTCAGCTGGACCTGGCACGTAGCCTGGTAGCAGCATGCCAAGGAGACTAAGGCCAGAATAGTACTGGCACACATCATGAGGTGGACCTCTTCGCCCAAAAATCGTCCCAGGCAAGCGCCCAAGCCGGTCCCCAAAAGCTCTGCTGCAGTCATCTGGGCGGTGTTACACCGCATGATATCGCCGAGATTGTTGGCTCTTGCAAAGGTCTCGAAGACCCTCGGGCGCGAGGCCTGGCCAGTGTTCATGCTCAGACGCCCCAGTGCACCGCCCAAGGCGGACAGGGCGAAGAAGTATTCGGGCCACTGCAGCGTAAGGATACAGATAAGGTCAGCGGTCTTGGCAAGGGCTGTGGCCTGGAAGCGAAAGCGCTTCGGATCTGAGTCGAAGCGCTTGTTGATAAAGGTTCCGACAAGGATGGCCAAGAGATGCCCGATGCCATCCTTCAAGACCCAGGCCGTGACTGCTGCCATGGGAACCATCTCACGACCGCCCACACCCACAGCTAGGAGCATGGCCTGTGTGGCGATGACTTTTGACATGTGGCAAAGGAGCAACTGGCCGGCACTGAACCAGATGAAGTGCACGTAGTTCTTCGTGACAGAGGACGGGTAATCAACCGGAAGGAAAACCTTCTTTACGAATCGTGCAACCCTATGACATCCCAGCTCATGGTTCGCCAGTAGGGTCGTCAAAACCGAGCCCTTCGTAGTTGAAACGGGATGCAGGAAGAGGGCTCCATTCCCGTCAGCCTTCACAAGGCTCCTTCTCTTCCGCTGGCCTCGAGCGTGGCCCTGTGTGATCTCAAGGGGCGCCCATGAGCTAGGATCTGTCATACCTTTAGCCTACCAAAACCTACTTTTTTGTAGGGTCCCTTTTAATTCCAGATTAGGGTTCATAATAAGAACCTACAAAAAAGTAGGGTTTGGTAGTTTAAGGTACTAAACATAGCCGGTCCATCAGCTTGAATTAAGTGAAAGGCTGCAAAGGTCGACGAGAAGCTTCCTATCTGGTGCTATACCTTCACAACCCTAAACTGCCTCGACAAACCGGCGCCAAATTACATTATTAGTAATGTTACTATTACTTACAATTATCTTAAGATTGATTGTTAATACTATTACTAGTACTATGCTAACTATGAGGTCGATTATTATTATTGTCATGAATTATTGTTACTATCATCGGTACAACTTACCGGAGAAGAAGCGGCCTTGCGGAGCTCGAGCGCGGAGACGATGTAGACCTGACAGAGGCGAGATGCCGCCGCGCAGGACTCTCGTAGCTGCCAGAAGAGCAGAGAACTACCGTGGGGTGTTGGGTGTGGGGTTTAGGGGTTTAGGGGTTTAGGGGTTTAGGGGATAGGGTTTAGGTACCTCTATAGCGGTTTTGGGTGTGGGGCTTTAGGGGTTTAGGGGATAGGGGTTTAGGTACCTCTATAGTGGGGTTTTGGGTTTGGGGTTTAGGGTTTCAGTACCTCTATAGTGGGCTTTGGGTTTAGGGTTTGGGGTTTAGGTATATAACTACTATAGATGCAGCAAGAATAACAACAGGATCAGCACCAGCAGTTTCAACCGGAATGATCCGCAATGATAACAGCAACAGCAACAGCAACAGCAACAGCAACAGCAACACGCGCACGCCCTTCAATTCTAGAGCTGATGAGGCCTCGAAACTCTCCGTGGACCACTCGGTGCCGTCATTCGACACCTCAATCTTCACGTTGGAGCTTCCTTGGCAAGAAAATCGGCAAGTTTTGTTGAGGGGTTGGGGTCGGCTTTGGGTCAAGTAGTACAGCGCCTGAAGATGCAGCTGTTACTGCGGACGTCCGATTGCTGCTAGATTCTTTCGTCTCCACCCTGACTTCTTGTAGCCGCATACCCGACTCTGTCCTGAGCCCAGTAAGCCTGGCACCCCATGCCCAGCTGCAAGCCCTCTAAGCCTGAAAGCCCAAAGGCCTTGGCACCCGAAGCTGTAAGAAGCCATAAGGGTGGTTGCCAAAATTATGGTCCCTTTTTGGGTCCTTATTATAATACGGCACCTATTTTTTAGGGTACCCCAAAAGGGACCATAATTTTGACGACCACCCATAAAGCTTGAGCATCTGGCCTGGCAGCTCGAAGGGAGGAAGGCCGCAGCGCACCTGTGCAATTGAGGACTATGGCAACACAGCTGGTAGCAGTTCTCGTAATACCCCATGACAACAACGGGGCCAAGCACCACAATCGTACTAAACATGCCATACATGCCAACGCGGCTCAAACAACGACAAGAGCGGCAGTAGCAGCAGCACCAAAGAAAAAAGACAACGATGGCACCCATCCGCGTGACGATGACGAACACTGCCATGGCCACGACGACTACGACGACGACGCTGACAACGGTGCTGCAATGCTGCTACTACTGCTACTACTGCTGCTACTGCTGCTACTGCTGCTACTACTACTACTACTACTACTACTACTACTGCTACTACTACTACTACTACTACTACTACTACTACCACTCCTGTTCCCACTCCCACTCCCACTCAACCTGCTACTGCTGATGCTGGTTCGACTGCGACTGCTGCTACTGCTGCCGCTGCTGCTACTGAGTATCCTACCCTTCACCTTGATCTCACAATCCTTGTAGATCGCGAATACTACGAAGAAGAAAGCAGTACAGCTGCAGCAGGAATAGTGATAGTCACTGCCGGTCAGAGCCTGCGTGGAGCTGATGAAGGAGGCGTAGGGCGAAGCAATAGCATGGCCAAACTGGCGATGTGAGGGCTTTGAAGGAGACGTCGGGTTTCAGCATGTCGAGTTCAGGACTGCCTTTCAGTTGAAATGGGATTTGTGCTCAAGAAACAGGAGCGCTTCTTTGGCTGCCACGTGCCAGCCGTGCCGTGTCGACAAGCCGGCATCGGAGCAAGTTGGTGTTCACGAAGCCCAGGCCCACAATCAGCAAGCTTGGATCCTGAAGCAGCTGCAGAGGGCTTCAGGTTGTTTTGTTTAAGTGCAGTGGCCTTTCTGGGGTTAGAGTTTAGAGTCTTGAGGCTTCTGGCTGGAGCTAGGGCAAAAAGACTCTTTCTTGACCAAAGCCCTCACCCCTGAAACCGCTACACCCTGAACCCCAAGATGCAAGCCCTACAACCCCAAACCTCCAAACCTCAAAAGTCTCAGCCCTACTCAAGGCACAACAACCCGAAGCCGCAACAGCCTCAACCATAACCCCACCACCCTGGGCCCCAGAAGACCCTCGAAGCATCTCCCCACTGCCTCGTCGAGTTCTACTGCACGCTGGCTGCGGTCCAGCCTTTGATCCGAGCTCTGGGGTCCGTGAGCTGTGGGGGTCTGTCGGGCTGAGGGCGTTTCAGGCTCCGTACGGTTTTGGGGTTCAGGGGTTGGCGGGTTTGGGCTTTGCAGGACCGGTTTAGAAGCACGGTCTTCGGGGCTCATGGGTTTACAGAAGGCCTTGGGGCTCGGGATTTCCGGGAAAGAGGCAAGTGCATGCAGAAAGCAGTTATGGAGTGGTCCCCTGGACCGAAGTGCACATGTGGCATGCTGGAGATAGACGGCATAAGTTGGAGTCGCCTCACTTCGTGTAGCCAAGGAGAGGAGTTCGGATGGCGAGATCTCAAAAAAAAAACGTGCAGAGTGCGACATGCAGGACGCACAAGACGGCAGAGAAAGTCACCAGGAAGGATCAGGGAAGCTGCTGGAAGGCTCATCGGTTCGTGGGTAGATCTAAGCAAGGCTTTTACGAACGCAGGTAAGGTGTTCATGACTCTACTTCTAATTACGCACCCATGCACCTCCAAGTAAAGCCCCCACATCCCGTGCGCAACAAGTCTAGAACAGGAGGTTGATGCACATAACAGGAAATCCTTCAAAAGATCCGCGAGCGTCGCTGAAAAATCTGAGCATCAGACCACGGCACCATGCGAGGATAGACGGAGGTGACTTTTGGCGTCGCCAAGAGCATGGATGGAGAGACCTGGCTGCATATGGCTGTGGGGACATAGCAACAGACTCTGAAGCAGATGAACCCTAAACCCTAAACCCTAAACCCCTAAACCCTAAACCCTAAACCCTGGCTGAAAATGATAAGTTCGCCGTGGCAAAGCCGGCAATTCGTTCGGCCCCCATCCTACCGTGGTTCGAGGCCCAGGTGTGGCATCTATGCTCTAAACCCCCTCCATGCTCCCAACCTTCCTGTAAAGCGCTGAAGCCCTACACGGCCTAACACCCCACACCCGAAAACTGACATCTCAAACCCAAAGCCTTGAACCCCAGAACCATCAACTCCTACACGGCACTCTACACCCAAAGCCATAGACTTGAAACTCGCACACACATGTTTTCGAGCTTTACTGGCATTGCTGCAACGGTCAACCAGAAATCCAAACCCTAAACCCTGAAGCATACCAGCCTCGACAGATGCTGCGCCCCGAACGAGCAAGCCCCAGGCTTCTGCGGCTCCCTGGCACAAGCAGACCGTCTGGGGTCAATTCACGGGTTCGGGTTCAGGATCGTAGGATTCAGGCCCGGGGTTTCGGAAATTGCAATTTTAGAATCTCTGGGCTCCGGGCTGGCCGGGGAAATATCCTCCACGAGCCCCCTTTTTGTCTATATCGCTAGATGTAGCCATATTCATTCCTTTTTAGATGCGCACTGCAATGCATACACAGACAAGCAAAACAAACAGCGAGAGAGACAAGGGGGTGTGAAAATAGATGTAGACATATCTATATATATATATATATATGTTATAACTAACTATTCATTTATCTACTTTTATATGTACATACACGCAAACAAAGCTAGAACTCATGCTCATCTGACTCATCTGTAGGTCGGAGGAAGTAAGGTTATACTTGTGGTTCCTTGCATGTGCGCACACGACCTGAAGACTATGCAGACTTACTTGCGAAGTTCCGCATGCTGTTGTGCCCCTCCTCGGTGGGGTCAATAAAGTAGGTGCTGAACCTGGGCGGCTCCGAACTCAAAGAGAGTTTACAAGCTTTTGTGATTTCGGGGGTTCGGCAAGGATGTGGGATCCGGGAGATCTGGGAGCTCAGCCTGAAAGCTTCGGGTCCAGCTGTTTACCTATCCATGAGCTGCAGAGGCAGTGGCTCTCTCCTTATCTTTGAGGAAGCCTCGACACCAAGGTGAGCGAAAACTGTGGTTTCGGGTGTAGGGCATCTGGCCCTACGTCCTCAAAGCCCACCCGGATCTTCAGGAGTTGGTTTTTGAGCTTTGAAGATGTGTGGCTGCGGCAGCTACTGCAGAAAGCTTCACGGCACCACCAGCGAAGCTCAATCTACTCCAAGAAAACGCCGAACAGAGCTCAAAATCATTGAAAGAGCGCCCTGGAACCTATGACAAGAGGCTTTCAGCAAACATCCTACATTGAGGTGGACCCAACACCCATCTTCGACCCCCAGGCGCAAAAAATCCCACAGGCCCGAGCCTCCTGCCGCCACAAGCCATGAACCCTCTTGGCCTTAACCCCTCGAAAGCGTTCTGTACCATTTACCCTCCAGCCCCCTGTCGCAAACAACCTGCGCCCGGAACCACTAGAACTTACATCACCTACAGATTAAACAGTTCTTACTTGCTTGCACTACTACTTTGTTGTTAATATGATGCATTAAGGATAATTTCTTGAAGGCAGCAAAGCTCTGAGATCGGTGCAGCATCCCCGGAGGATACGTGACGGAGTAGTCCACCACCGGAGCGCTCAGCAACAGCCCAAGCCTTGCTGGCAGCGTAGCCGAAGTCTCATGTCCCTAAAACTGTTCAGAGTCATCAGAACCCTCAGATACAAGATATCATCTTAGTAAGAAGGTCTTACAGTCTTACAGCAGTCGCAGTTTCAATAGAAATACCAATAACAGACGCAGCAGTAGTGGTGCTGCTGAAGCTAAGGATAGACCACGCAATCAACGACCAGGAGACGACTGCACCTCCGACGGATGGCCACCTTCTCTCACTCACGTTCACGGATTTTTTTGACGACGACTCCAAGCGTTGAAAATAACAATATGGTTTAGGGTTTCGGTGTTTAGTGTCTTTTTGGGAGACCCCGTTGTCTACGTTACCTTGCATGGTGGGAAAGCCCTCATGAGGCGGACATATGCCCTGGCTACGGTGCGACATGAACACTGAAACTTCAATCGGGCATAGGGTTTGCGTTTCAGGGCTTTAGGGCTCGGGGTTGAGAGGTTTAGATTGGGGTTTAGGAGAACTCTACGCCTGAGCACGTGGCGCAGTAATTGGGATGTCGAGAATGCCCAAAGCAGTCGAGTTGACGACGCTCTCCGCAGACGGCCTGAAGGCTCTCGGGCTTTGACAGCGGCTTCAAGGGGCTCCTCTCACACTTCGGTCCCTTCCTGACAAACATCTTAGCTCCCTTGTCGAAGCCAGTCCTAAAGCTGCAGTCGTCTCCAGACGTAAAGCCCTGAGCGACACCGGCCCCAAATCTCTAAAGCTTGCAAGCGCCAGCCCCTCTCAACTGGGACCCTTGCGGGTCGTAGGCAGTCGGCGTCACCCACAGTTTCACTTGGGCCTCGCCAGTGGCTTGTAGCTTCGGGTTGTAGTGCGCATAGGACTGACGGAGTTGGGAGCTTTAACAGAGCGACCTTAATAATTAGAATGGCGTTTTGGTGTATAGTATACGGTAACTAATCATATTACGGAACCCCCACAACAGTGCTTGTATTTTTCTAGGCCACTAGATTAGGCGTTGTGGTTTGCATTTGGGTTGTAGGACTTAAAACTTTGGTTCCGTTGCGTCTACGGCTTAAGGCCTTGGATGCTCGAGTTTGGCGGGCTTATGAATTGAACTGTCGGCGAGCTTCGACCTTGCATTGCTCAGCGTGCTTAGCGCTCCTGTGTCGGAGACAGATAAAAATACCACGAAATAAGCAACAGCAAACTGATCAAATGATAAATGACCTGATCATTATCGTCAACCAACACCATCATCATGATGGTAAAGATGATGTTGATGAGCATCATAGTCATGACGACGACAATGATGTTTGCAAGGAAGCACAGGAGGAAACAGAAGAAGCATCAACCAGAACCGGATCGCTCTTCACAGGCCGAGTCCATGGCAGGACCCTGAAACTGCGTGTTCTGCGCGAGGAGGCTGACTGGTGGCATCTGGTGACTGATCTCCTGGCATCCACACTTGGATCATGTAGCCTGAGGAGGAAATACCCACAACAGCAGGATAAAGAGCACCGGTGAAAGATTCGGGCCCTTCTGCTACGACGAGACCGGCTCTTAGCCGTGTTAGCCAGGGAAAACAGTAAGGATGTCCAGTCTAGAGCTCGGGGCTTGAAGCCTACACTCTGAACCTTTATAATAGTTTCATATATATATATATATATGTACACCTACATGCAGGTATACTTACATACATGTGTATGTATATATATATATACACATACAGAGACATGCATGCATATAGCTGTATGCTGTATACGTATATCTAGTTGTGAGTAGAGATCCTACAGAAGCCAGCGCGAGACAATACGAAACCGAAGCTTTCGCTTTCATCGGCTCCCGCCTCACCGACCAGCCCCACCTCGGTTTACGTCGTGGGGGGGGGGGGGGGGGGGGNNTTTAGGGTCTTAGGTTTAGGGTGTAGGGGTTTAGGGTTTTAGAGTTTTAGGGTTTAGGTTTAGGGTGCAGAACTTTAGGGTTTTAAGGTTTAGGGTTTAGCGGTTTAGGGTTTTAGGTTTTTTGGGGTTTTAGGTGGGTTTGGGGGTTTAGGGGCGCCTAATGAGTGGATTGCTTGGGATCTATTTGCGGTTCCCTTCTTTTGTGAAACTCCGACGCAAGCTTTACCCTAAGAAGCCAAAACCTACTTTTTTGTAGGGTCCCTATAAATCCCATATTAGGGTTGAAAATAAGAACCTACAAAAAGTGGGTTTTGGGTTCTTAAGGTATGTTGTATTGAGTTGTGCTAGGGTTTCAGATCCGGAGCCACGCGCAGCCGATGCTCAGAAAAGGGCTGCTACTGGCCTAAATAATTATTAGTACTGTTTTGGGGGTTCCTTATTCGATTTATAGCATCATGGGCCCCAAAACCATATCCTGATTATGAAGGCCCCTATATTACATATCCTGAATTCTCGAACCCTCCCAGCACGCCGGGAACCAGGCTTGGACCCTGATGTTCGAAGCTTGGCCTAGCCGCTGCGCAGATGTCGGGATTGAGGGTTTCGGGGTTCAGGCTTTGGGATTGAAGGCTTCGGGGTTCAGAGCTTGAGATTTAGGGGTTCAGTCGGTATGATTTATTGTTTTGGGCTCATCTTAAGGTTTAGGTTTCGAGGCTTAGGGCAAGGCCGTCCGTGATTATGTAGGCTTCAAGGTTTGGGCTTGTGTGTGGTACGTTTGTCTGCACAAAGAGAACTCTTGCGGCTGCGACAGTTTCAGACCATAAAGGCTACCCCGAGTCGTACTAAGAGTCTTGATACAGTTACGATAGCATTGGGCCAGAGCCGAAGAAATACTTGAGATCCTTGGAGCCCGCAGAACCTAACCCCTACTGCTAAACCCCAAATCCCTTAGCACACCCGGAACCGAAGGACCCTAACAGAGGGGCCTTGATAGTTAGAATAGGGTTTTGGGGCTCATTATACTATAACTAGAAAAAGGAACCCCTAAAATAGTATAGGTAATTATTTAGGCCTCTATATTAAAATCAAAAACCCAAATTCGGATTTCAGGTTTCATACCGGCCTTGAAGCGGAGCCGCGGTAAGGCGCCGCTCCGGAAAGAGGAGGAAGGTGGCCTGGTGTGTTCTCTTTTGGGGTCGCTTGAGGGAACCCTAAACCCTAAACCCTAAACCTAACTTAACCAAAACAGTCAGGCCTAAGCCTAAAAACGCAAACTATCAAGGCCAAGACCCGGAGTTGAGCCTTCAAATCTTCGCAGGCTTCTCAGAAGACTCACGGCCCACAAGTGAACAAGCCGAAGCCGAAGCTCCTCAAGATCTTTTTGTTGTTGACGATCTGACTGACATCATAAAACACACATTCAGTCCTCAACTCTGCCCTGGATTTCTCAGGAGCCGGTGAGACAGCACTTCATCGTCCTCGATCCTCCCTCACTACTTTATCTGCTATACATGCCCGAATTAGAGTCTAAGAGCCAGTCCGGAACTTAAAGCATACACGTGACCTCGGAAGGTAGAGCCATGCCGTGAATCCGCAAAGTAACGCCAACCTGTCAGGGGGTCTGGGCCCCTAGGCTCTTCAGTCTCTGGGGCATTTCGAATAATCAAGTCGAGGGCATCGGGGTTGCGATGTTTTGCTTTTATAGGATGTGCGGCTTGGTAAGCTCGGCATGGGGCCTTTAGCCTGGGTTGTGCTTTCGGGCTACGCGGAGCTTCGGGTTGGGGGTTTCCCGTCCGTGGCTTGGATGGTCTTGGGCTTTGGGATGCGAGCTCGACGTTTCAGCGCGGGCAGAAGTGAATTGAGGGCAACGCAAGATACCCTAGGGCCCTAGGATTGCAAACTAGAGTTAGGGTTCTTTTTCTCATCCCCTAAAGAGTCGTCAGTTCTGTTTCGGCACCGAATGATCCCCCTTGTGGAAGTAAGCTCATGCTTCGCGCTGTAGAAACCTAAATCCGAAGCTCTAAACCCCTAAGTACAGATTCCTAAAAGGTGTAAGTCGCAGGCTTGGACCCTGGGCTGTGGGCGCCTGAAGTTCTCTAAGAACTTCGGCCGGATGGGAACTCATGGGCTTACAACAACAGCGCAACCCTCTTGACAGTATTCCTAATAGGTATAGGCTTGCATATAGTGAGTATGATAGGATCCATCACCCGGGCTTAGGGCTTAGGGTCAGCCCGATTGGGGACTTCGTGGCTTGCAGGGCCGCCCAGGTGTTAGCAGATGTTGAAGCATCTCCACATCGAGCATACAGCAAGTTGCTTTTCGAAGTTGGAAAGGGGAAGGGGAGGGACCATAGACGCTGAAGCTTTGCATCATGACCCCTCAACCCCACACACGAAGACAAGAACCTCTGCACCCTTGGCCCCAGAACAATCCCTTTCTTGGAATTCGAAGGAAGGCCCCGGGCAGAAACACAAGCCTTGCGACCACCAGGCAGCCCCGGAATCGCGGGTGGAAAGCAAGCGACCCGCTGGCTGTCAAGGACCTGGGGAGTGGATGTGCCCTAAACTCTAAACCCTAAAACCCTAAAATCCTAAAACCCTAAACCCCTAAACCCCTAAACCCTAAACCCTAAAATCCTAAAACCCTAAGCCCCTAAACCCTAAGTGGGGTCGCTTTGAGGTGTGGCAGGCCGAAGCCTCAAAGACTCAACCAGTACCTTCTTCTCCTTGCAGTGCGAAGTGAGGTGAGGTTGTGGTGCGAAGCTCCGGAAAGCTGGGGGGAGACGTGGCCTTTGGCAAAATCGTGGCCCAAAAGCAACGGCCACTTAAATCATAATAATAAGGCCCCTATATTTTAAGGTATATTGCTTAATGAAGGGATATTGGGTTCTCTGGGTATAGGGGATAGAGGATCTTGAGTCCGAGATCCTCTGCCAGCTTTTCCCCTGCGCGGCGATTTCTGAGCGCCAGGTTAGAAGGAGGGCCGTGCCAGTTTGCAAGCCGCCGTGCATATGGACAACTTTGAGGGGAGTAGGAAGCTGTCGCGTGAAGATCGCCCCTAGCTGGATGCCCAGGGACAGACAAAGACAAATCGCCTTGCAGGGCGGAGAGAGTGCTCAGAGGCCCAGGGGACTTAGTAAGTCGGTTATAAGTAGGGTCGTAATTGGGGTAACTCCATTTAGGGCACTTATAACCCTACTTATAAGCTAGTTCCTAAGTCCCCTGGGCCTCCAAGTGGGTGAGCAGAAACAGCGACTAGTCAGCGAGAAGGGCTTAAACACGTGGCAGATGAAGGTCAACCCAAAATCTGGCTGCCCTACGTTACACCGGGCACAGGTCGACTTGAAGAGTTTGAGTTGAAGGCTAAGGGCCCGGGATTCTGTTTATCGCTCTGTTTAGGGTTTTGGGTTTAGGGTTTTAGGGTTTAGGGTTGCTTCTCCATCCTGGACCTGCAACATCCTTGAAGCCTCTGTACGGAATCCTCTCGTCCGCCATACCAAAAGGCCCTGAATGGAAGGAGTTTGTATCTATGCCAAAAGGCCAGCACTGAGAACAACACCCCAATACTCAAGCCAGAAGGCAAAGACAAGCTGTGAAGAAGCCAACGAGTCCAGCTTTCAAACCCTAAACCCTAAATCCGTTCCGGGCTTTACAAGAAGGGAAAGTGCTGGGAGCCCCGGCCCAGGGTGCAGACTCTGCCTCCTCTGAGAACCCTTCTGGCCGGAAGACACACCTGACCAGGAGGGTGGATCCCAAACTGTGTGTGGTTTAGGGTCTAGTGTCCCTGACTTCCTGAAAGCTTGCTCCAAGTCCTGCTCCTCCTGCTCCTCCTGCTCCTCCTCCTCCTCCTCCTCCTCCTACTACTACTACTACTACTACGACCACTACTACTACCTACTACTGATAATCATCCTGCTACGACCAACTCTGATACTACAACTTCTTCTCCAACCCATGTTAGGAACGAACAATGCTTTCCAACTCCGGACGGTCCGGACACGTAGCCCACCTTCGGAAGCCCTCAGCCCTGAACCCGCGAACTCAAAACCCCTGAGGTGCCAGGTCGCAGGCCTCGAGCCCTCGGTCTCACGTAGCAGTGCGCCCAAGGGCCCTCCGTACCTCGGGGCACGGACTGAGCCTGCCACACTTTGCAGTATACTATGATAGACCATATTGTACCGTTATGCTATATTACTGTATTACATTGCATAGTACTATACGATGTTATGATACTATACTTTCTAGATTACAGGTCTTCGGTTTTGATTGCACTCTGGCGCTTGCAGGAGGGACGCAGATCCACATCAAAGCTGCTCAGCTCTTGACAGAACCAGCGGAGTGTTGCTGCCCATGGAGGTGGCATTCGGCGAGACTCTGCCCACGATGGAAATCTGCAGCACCTGTTGCAGAGCACGGCCGACAATGATTCAGCTGCCAAGGCCTCCTAGCAATAATATAAGGCCCTTTATACTATAAGTATGATAAGGCCCCAAAAACAGTATAAAATTATTGAGGCTCCTATATTAGCAGGAGAAGTCGACGGCAACCCTGAGGCCTGGAACGGCACGAAATTCTGTGCAAGCACGAAGGGCGAGTCGTAGTTGACAAGGCCGACCTTCACACAGGCTGAATTCGGAAACATCCGCCATCTTCCGCCATGCAAGGAGAATGCTAAGCCGTTGTCATAAGTCTAACTGGGAGTTTCCGAAAATAAGGGGTACTTTGTTTTGGGGTCCTTATCATAAGGATCCTATTATTTAGGGTACTATATTAGGGTCCCCTATTTTCGGAAACCCCTACATGATAAGGCAACAAACTGTGACCATCCTTGGCACAATAAGCATCGGCACCTCCCAGGTGCCCAGGGAGAGTCCTTCTGGCACACGGCAGCGGACATTGGCTGCGCCTTTTGGAACGCAGGAACTTCGAGTCGTGCAGTTCAGTGGAGTGTAGAGTAGTGTAATTCACATGACTGGTATATAATGTGGTATGGTACAGTTTGTATAGTGTTGTATACTGTATGGCTTAGGTTTGTATAGTGTCGTATAGATTTGGTTTCACAAGAGAACACCACCCTGGAAAGTCGCCCCTCGACACACTGCTCACTCTGCCGGAGGAAGCTGTGGCCCAAGCTTTGGAAGCCAGCCGTCGCATCGACAAGGCTTGTGGATGCCTGGCTGAGTCATGATTCCACTGCACTGTAATATACTAGAACCTACGATAGGATACTACAAAGTAATATGACATGCTGTAATATGCTACGGCATACTCTCACATACCATAGCAAATACACCTAGACTGACATTACATCATATCATCTGACCACGCTCAACCCAAGGCCTCCATCTCGACAAGCAGCGCCGGCTCAGGAACTCGGATTGACGGAGGGGAAGCAAACCCTACAACCAGAGGCCTTGAGAATTAGGAGAAGGCTTCCGAGGTCGTAATCTAAGGGACTTCTACTATAAGCAGACCCCCCTGTGGGTTCTCCAGGTGCCAATCCGGGGCTGCTGCCAGTCCTGTAGTCGCGATGAACCCTTTGGCAGGCAGGCGCCAGCTGTCCCAGGCCCGTACGAGCCGTGCCTGTGTGCGTCTGTCCGCCCTCGCCTCTCTGTCTATGCCTCTCTCCCTGTCTCTCCCGCTTTCCTCTGCTGCTTTACATCAAGGCCGCGGGAGGAGAGACCAGGACAGCTGCTGACAAGGTTTGCTTCTTGACTGCTGTGAAAGCGCATGAAAAGCTACGCATATCCCCCAAGCTAGATCCTCGGCGGCAGCTCCTGTACCAACAGCTGCCAGGGGCCCGACCGTTGTCGTCCGTCTCCTCCGCCTCCTGCGCAGACTGAAGTGGCTGAGCATCGAAGCATTGCTTGAGATTTGGGCTCCTCCAGCCCCCCATTGCAGACTTAGAATTGAAGGCATTCGGCTAGTCGTGCGTGCGGTTCGAACTAAGTGATAAGGTTTCTGTAATTCGGGGGAGGGAGGGGGGGCTGGGTTCACAGCCTAGTGGATAAAGACACCAACAACGACAACAAAAGGCAAATCCCCTAGTGCCACGGACTGTACTAGTACTTGGCATCATCAGTACTGACATTCTAGGGCACTCACATAATCATACATCCTCTTCGTCGTCGCACACACGCACATGAAATGAAAGCAGTGAGGAGACAAAGCCAAGAATCCTGCTTAGCACCAGCACCATCAACCGAAACAGAGTCATAAAGCCTCAACTCTAAAACTTGAAAACCCTGCAAGCCCAAAAACCCAATAAAAAAACCCTTATCAGCCCCTACGAAGACCTGAAACCACCACAGAAGGCCTCGAACGTCTCTGTGGCGTTGCTTTCGTTACTGAAGGCGGGAATGCCTAGGCCCAGGAACCCGCAGGGCTAAGGAACTGTTAATTCCTCTCGGATCGGCACATCCCTGCAGCACGAAGCTTCGAAGATGCGACTCCCTTTTGGGCGATGGCCCTGGCCGCATCGCGTTCCTGTGCAGGCAACTAGGTATATTATATCGAGATGGATTCGACCATGGTCAAGAAGCACTGCTGTCGTGACAGTCCTACCATTTCGCCACACAGTGTATGTTTTGCATTCGGCTTCGGGTTTTTAGGGTATAGGGCTCATCTAGGGTTTGTGTCGATGAACTGCCAGGAAGACGCCTGGCCGCTGCGCATCTCCAAGCAGCCTCCCGTTGCTGCCATATGCCCGGAACCTGAAAGACAGCATCTCGGCAAGCGGATGATGCTGACGGACGATCCACGAATGCAGATGCAATGTTGCCTTACATAGGTTTGACCGAGCTAAGCATGATTGTGGCTACTTCTCAACAATGTGTATCGTTGCGGTGTGCAGACAAGTATCCAAGAGCACAGAAACCTCCAATGTAGGGGTCTATGAACTGGGAAGGCTTCTGAAGCACAATGACTATCACGTAGGTGTTTTAGGGTGATGTGTGGGCATACCTAATTCCTCCTAAAACACCGCGCCTACTGTGCAGCAGCAGTGAACAACCTCGAACTGTGTTCCGCGCTGACAGCGCGCTTCGGTGGGCAAGGCATTCAGCGCGCGAAACTCCACGGATCCACCAGCGAAGATCTGCACCGGAGCGTGTTGGGGCTTTGAGCTTAGGGGATCGGAGAGACGGCGAGATTGGCGAAGCTCAGCATCAATAGCTGCCGTTGCTCTTCATTTTCCGTCCACGGCCGACAGAGGCTTTTGTGGAGAGCGTACTATGCACGGCAGATGCAAGAAGCATACACCCGACAAAGCCCCATCAAAGATGCAAATGTGTGTGAAGCAGGTGTGTGTGCATCCGGAAAGAAAGTAAAAACATTCAACCATGCATGCCTACCCGTATATTCTCATATATCTATATACACAGGCGTGCTGCGTAGAGATGTATACATGGGTATAATTATATAACAAATATACATACACGTTGTCACATACATACATTTGCATATATGTTATGATATGATACGATATGATGTAGTATGCTGCGATATGGTATGATATACAGTACTTTACTATACTTTACTAAACTTTACTATACTTTACTATACTATACTATACTATACTGTACTATAGTATACTATACTCTTCGACACTACACTTTACTAGATGCACTAGTTCACTACACTACACTATACTATGCTACTCTATGCTATGCCATGCTATTGCTATGCTATGCTAATGCTATGCTCTGCCAAACTATACTATACTAAACTCGTCTAGACTCGACACGGCGACTGGATGCACTACACTATTCCATGCTGAACCATGCCACATAGTACTGTGCTATGCTATAATGAACTGTTACAATATCATATACTGCAATATGATACAATGCAACTTATTGCAAGAAAACATAGAAAAGTCATTGAACTGCAGGTTGTGAATACAGAAAGCCCTCCAAACCTGAATACACATATACACATAAACACAACATATGTTTTGAATGTAATATAATCGTATATAAGGTTATACAACTATAGTGTGAAATATCATAAAGTCTGACCATAGTGCACTATGCTATACATTACTGAAATGAACTACAATATGTTGAAAATGGTAGTTTTGAAAAAACCAAAATAGAAAATAATGCAATGTGGTATGACATAATCTTCCAACAAATGGAACATCATGATGTGCAACCTTTCGTAAGACCACATGCTACAATCAAGTATGAAACGTTTTGTAAGATAACGAAATCAACATCATACAAATAATTCCGTCGAACATGCTGCAACATGGTGTAATGGCGCAGAATCTGAAATGATCACTACAATATGATATGGTAGAAATGGCATGATATGATGTGACATGGTTTGCTATGGAAGATGGAAGAACACAAATTTGGCATAATATAATTCAGCGCGACGTACAACAGAAAGTTACTGTATGATAAACTGTACTGTACGATATTACGCTACCTTATAATACTTTCAGAACGTTATATGGCATGGTATAATATACCGTAACATGATAAAACCTGAGCTGCTGCATCTCTATGCGCATCAGCATCCGTTAGACGTGCAGTATTGTGTTTATGAGTTTGTATGCGAAACATGAGCAAAAAGTGCATGGACATACATATATACACACATGACATACATGTGTCACATGTGTATGTCCACACTGACCTGCGATCTTCACGGTCTTATTATAAAGCGAGCATATATACACATACTTATCTTCGTGTGTATGCATTAGCGGCTCTCGTGGCGCAAGCTGGTGCCTTGGAACCTCTGCCAAGCTTCACCGGCAGGACGATTGGGTCCCACTCCAGCCTGGCTCCATAGATCCCAGCAGAGGTTCCAGAGGTTTGGGAAATAGAGTTTAAGAACAAGGCTGGAGCAGCGGGTCGGGACAGCATGCATGATGCCGAAATGCCACTGTCTCTCCAGCATGCTCTGCAGATCGTTCTATCTATACTTGGCTGTTTGCAGAGTACGTTTAATGTATATATATATATATATGTATAAATATATATATATATATATATGTTGGCTGGCTGCCTAAATACAGTACGATGCATGTACCCATGTGAAGATACGTGAAATGCTTGAACAGACATGCTGACATGTTCTCACTGAAATTCTGAATGCTCTCTTGCAGCAATGCTCAGTGCAGTGCTCCAGGCTCAGATCGATCGGGTAGTAGAGCCTCAGCATGCATCGGCTGACTGGGCTGTCCAAAAGAACTGGAGGACTGAGCAGTAGAGACAGGGATTGGGATGAAACTAAGACATGGAAAACATAGCCACACTGCACTTTTGACAGGGACATGGCAGGGAACGTTTGCTACAGCCAAGCCGAGCGAAGGACTTGCCCGAATCGACGGAGAGTAGCAGCTTGGCGTCGTAGTCCACATTGCGAGCCTTCCGGCTCTACAGTAATAACCAACTGCATGCGAGGGGCCGAAATAGCCAGCAAGCCGCAGCTGGCGTCTTCAAGTCTGAAACTATACATATATATATATATAGACACACCTTTATGTATACACACACACATATATATATATATATATATGTATGAATAAATACAGATAGATATACATATATATATATATATGTATATATATATATATATATTAAATGTGTATATACAGAGCGGAGATGTCAACACCCACACTAGAGTCACCAGAGCTAGAGTTCGAATAGATTCCGATTGAAAGCCGTGCAGCAGTGCAATTAGTACCCTATTCACTGCCAGCGAGCTCTCAACTACTACATGCTCAGCGTTACTGTGGAATTTCTCAACGTCTTCATCTTGTGTTCAATTTTTCTGTGCCGTCTGCCGACATGGCCATCTCTTTGCTGCGTAGTTATGCTTCTCTTGGATGACCGTTTTTGCGTGGTCTCGTCATGGTTTTCACATCACGTGAAGAGGCAAGCAACAACAAAATCATCCACAACTTCTACCCAAAACCAACTCCCTGACTCCCACCATATAACCCTAAACCACTCTGCAACCTGCAGCCCTTAGACTCCGAATCCCTACAAGCCCCTATTCCGCATCGTCTGCTTGCTCCCCTAGAGAAAAGCCTCGGCAAGCTCTGTCGGCAGCACCGGAGACATGCACGTCCTTGATAGGGACAGAAGGGTTCACAACACTCAAGAAATATCATGGCAGTACCACGGTATCAGGAGTATCGGGGATACTAGCCATGCC